CCCAACATAAAAGTGACCACATGAACACATTATTTTGTAGCAACCAGATCTCGATAATGGTTCAACTTTTTCTCTAAAAGTGGGCATAACTGAAGAAAATGTCGAACTATACTTTATCAAAATTTCGAATTCAAATTGCCTTAGTATTTTAAATCAAGATGCTTAGATATATAAAAAGAAACTGATCTTAGAAGAATCTCTTTCTATAGAAGTTAAAATTCACTTTTATTTTATTAATTGCCCATTAAGATAAAGTTTGATTGAAAAAAACATAAAGTTCTTAAAGCATGAAACTAAAGATTGCGGCTGTGGGTATGGATAAAGAATCTAATATTCTAATGTTTCCTTCTTGCCAACTTTCTAGAAGGATGAGCAGTGTTCAACAGGTAAGGAGTCCAAAATGTTTTAATGGAGGATATAAGTGAAAGGAGCTGGAGCAAGTAGGCCCAAAGAGCTTGCTGGAATTGCCTGGCCAACATAGTGACGCCAATAAAATGGATGCTGTGGAATTGGGCCAATAAAATCTTCTATTCTGAGTAGGGTATATAGGTAATTAAGTGGTAATAATCTGATTGCCATGAAACCCGAAAAATACTGTGCAGTGGTAGTCATGAATAGGTAAGATTATTTAGAAAAGATGCCGGTTGACTAGAATCGCAGTTGTAATTATAAGTGTCTGATAAAAGGTGAAATTAAAAGAGTTTAAAACTGGACTAGAGGATCCCCTGAAAATGTGTGTAAGTAGTGAGGAAACGGAGAAGTAAAAACTAAATTTACTACTTCAAAGAAATGCTGGGGTACCCACGGCTTATGGCTTTCAAAAGGTGCATAAGGAAGGTATTCCTCTTAGATTGATTTTAAATTATAAACGAGTGATGCATAAAATCCCATATTTTTATATAGACGAATTTGGCAATGTTCTTTCAAAAACCTATACATTTGTAAAATTAGTGGATCAGCAAATAATTTCAGGGAAATATACTAAGTTTTGATGTAGCATGCATGTAGACACTATTACATCTGTCAGCCATTCAGACTATGGCGCCCAGCCTGGAGAAGCATAATAGATTATGGAGATAATCAAGTTAGTAAAGACATCCATTCTACGATTTTTAAATCTATACATAACTAGTACTTACTTCAACTTTGACGGTATGTGGTATGAACAGACGAAATGGCTTGCGATGATATCAAGTTTAGAGTTCATTTTGACCAATAACTGAATGGCGAAATAGAGCTACGCTTAATGGAAGAGGTAACAGCAAGCACAAAAATGTTTTTGGCATAAACTAATCACCATTTTGTTATTTTTCAGCATGACAAGCGTCTTGAGCATGATGATTTACGTCTGCTAGGCGCAAGCTTGTTGGTATAATTTTTTACAAACCTTACTTCAATTTCATAAATATTATTGGTGAAGATATAAAGAAAACTCGGATTTGTGGGTTCCATAGACATATCCTCACCCAATTCTCTCCCTTCTTTCCTAGCCAAAACATTTAATAAACATAATTTATTCCAACATGAATTCCGTCGATCTGTCTATTTTATTTATAGACTTAAGGAATTCCTATAAAAGCTTCTTCGCATTTGATTAAATAATAAAATAGTCGTCCATAGATGTAACAGAAACTAAACATTGAATGCAAAAAGTGTGGGGATAGTTCACTACACCCTTGAGGTATACATTATTAATAGTAAAATTAAGAAGTGGAAAATGAATTCACTATTACAGAGACCTCCCGAATAAAGGTCTCCTTAGGATGAACAAAGAAGATGTCCCTCTTAAATTAATAGTAAATAATAAAAGAAGCGTGATGCAGAAAAATTCACGTTTTTTATGCATACAACTACGAAAGGCTGCAGATTTTTAGATATGTTAAGTTAAAGATTCTCGTGAGTTTGTGAAATTGATTGATCAGCAGATACGTTAAGAGGAGGATAGGCTAGTAAGTTTTGATGTTGTGTCCATGTACACAAATATTCCTGTTTAAGACACCATTCAGGCTCTAGCAAAAACTCTGAAGGAGCATCCAGAGATCATGGAATGAATGCGGTTAAATATAGCCATTATTCTTGGACTTTTATCTAATCCATGGATATCAGCCAGTTTACCTTTAATGGCAAGTTTTATGAATAGACACAAGGGTTTGCAATGGGACCTTGCTCAGCTCTCATTTTCGCGAACAACTACATGGCCAAACTTGAAAAACACAATTTGGAATAGGCAATATTAACCCCTAAATTGTTGATTAGATAGATGGATGACTCATTTGTGATCTGGCCTCATGTTAAGAAAAGCTTAGAAAGTTTCATACTTTTACTTACTTCCCAACCATAGTTACAAAAGAAAGATTAGAATTTTGACTGTTAGAAGTATGCGACTAGCGGACAGCAACCATTTTACTAAAGAGTTGAAACGGAGTAGGTGGTATTGAGACCTAAGCATGGTTAAAACGGCAGTCCACTCTAGGCAAGAACAATTTTTGGGAAAGCAAGGCTATGTAGAATTCAACGAAAACGTCAGCTTTACTCATATCATTGAGAAAATTCTACTACAACTCCTTCACCAACCTAAACGAAATAGGGTGAATACATCTCATAACTTATTTACTGGTAGTCTCGAGACTCTACTTATATACGAAAAATAAATAAGGTAGTGAATTGTTATAGCAAAAATACGTTTGCCTCATCGGCAATCCAATCAAAAATTGTGATATGAAAAAAGCCTGGCCTTCCTTGAAATTAAATTCAACTCTGTTGCTCAAGGACACTCGTGGTAGTGCTGCTGAGTGGTTAACTTATCAAGCTCACATGCATTGTGTTCGAATCCCACTGGGGGTGTTGATAAGGCCTATTCAAGGTTGAAACTGCAGTCCACCTTAAATGAAAACAACTTTTGGGAATGCAAGGCCATGTGAGAAGCAATGGAAACATCAGCTGCACTCATGTTATTATGGGGAAATCCTACTACTAGTCCTTTATCCCCTTAAACGAAATAGGGTAAATAGACCTCACAGCCTTTTAAGTATATTCTTATGCATATTCGAGAAGAGCAAAAGGTATTGGAAAAAAACTCGTCCCAGAAGAATTTTCGAACACTTTGAAAAATCGTTCATAAGAATTAATGTTGAAGCAGTATACAAATAGGAATGATTTTTTAATAAAATCGTACTCAAGGTATGACAGAACTTACATATTAGCCCAAATTAAACAAAAAGGCGAATAAAATTGTATAGATAATATTATATAAATAAAGTACGACAACCCTAATATCAAATAAAAATACAGTCCAATTATTGATTATAATCAAAAGATTTTGGAATAAATTCGAAACAACTTTGGGAAAGCTTTAAATTGGATTGTAGAAAAATAAAGTCCATAAGCACAGAGATATATGCATATTTATATATGGCTTAAAACCAAAAAACAGTCTATATAAATGGGCAAATAACGATAATAAAAGGATAATAGAAAAATTACCGGGACTACGGCAAAGAGAGAGGGAGCAACTGGATGGAGGCAATGCAAAACGCTAAGAACCCCAAGACGACATTTCGTATCTCTACTGGTTATGATACGTACTATCCATTTTTGTTCAATTGGCGATGTCCGCCGTATAATTTCAGTGAGGCACTCCCGGCGACTTATTATAGACGTAGAAGAAGCAAACGCATCAAGCATTTCATTTACGGCCTGTAAAAAGGAAACATCAAATGGATTTTTTAAAATAAGGGGTTATAGTTAGATTATTTTGGACGAACCTTAACGGATAAAGTTCCACTTTCCGGACACCGATCACGAACGAGCGAGGCTATAACATCAGCAAGATCTCCTCCACTGTCTGTACTTGGTAAATATTTAGGGCTAGTATAGTGAAGCAAACGCTTTGCAGGAGCTCCATTTTGAGCTAAGTTTAAAACTTTAATGTATAATCTTGCCAATGATTTCTCACGAACTCCATAAGCCGGACGTCGCCGATCGAGCTGTGGTAGGAGCAGACGAAGCAAAGGATAAAAACTAGCAATACCAGCGGACACGTTATTACTTTTGTCTGCAAATGATTGGTAAATAGAACTCCAGCCTTGAATGAATTTCGCAAGTAAAACTCTTTTAGCTTTTATGCCCTTTTTTTGGCATATTTTTTCCATTAATTGACAAAATGTTACAAATAACACCGAGTCTGCAACCTTATTTCCTTCATCAAGAGCTTTGAAATCCACATAGTCACATTCTAATTTGCTCATGAAGATGGGATAGAACGTTGCACAAGAACACTATTCGGCTTATCACAAAGAGCGCGTTTATACCACAACATATTTATAAATATATGTTTTATTGATGTATTGAAGTATGCGCTTTGACAAATAAAAAGTTAGCTATACTTGCGTTTTGTCGTGTCTTTCTGCCCGCTCTGTTTGTCTTTTTGGTCTTGCTATTTCGTAGCCTCAACATCATCTTGGGTTCATGTTCCCATTTTTATCATGTATGGGATTCGAATTGCAAGAAATGTAATAGGTGGAGCTGGAGTTTTGGGAGGGGTTTATGCGATAAATAGCATATACAACTGGAAGACATCTTTGCCTGACTTCAGTTCTATATTTTCTTCTAGCGAAAACTCAAGACATTTACTTAGCTCCGTTTTTCAAGATGGATCTGTATGTTTTAGATTATCAATATCGATTTTTAGTTGATTTCAAAAAGAATTAGTTCGTTATTTAAAACTTCCTGTAGGCTCCTTATTCATAATTAGTGTAACTCCTTTCAGACTCATCGGAGGTGATTCATCTAATTATTTTGTCATACCTAATAGCCTAGTACTGAGAACAAAATAAAACATTCAAAATCAGTTCAAGAATTGCAAGATGAACATAACAAACTATGGGTTTGCCTAAATTATTATTTATCTTTAGATGGAGTATCAAAAGTCCCTGAACGAAATCAAAGAAGAAAATAGGACTCTGCGAAAACATTTACTTCTTGTTAGACAAAAGAACAATCAAACTGTCCGCATAAAGGTTTGCACCCTGTACTCTCACCCCTACAGAAATCGTTGATGGAGATGTATTCTGAGGTTCTAGACGCGTTGTCGGATTTAGATTCAGGCTACAATGCACAAGTCTGTGTTTATTTTGGAAATCTAACAAAGTTACACTATCTGTATCATCTGATATCTGATCATATATTCATTTTCAGGACAACCTTCCTCGTGTTGTTGTCATCGGTGACCAAAGCACTGGTAAAACCTCGGTCTTAGAAATGATAGCTCAAGCTCGTATATTCCCTCGTGGCTCTGGTGAGATGATGACAAGGTCCCCTGTAAAAGTAACTCTGTCAGAAGGTCCCTATCACATAGCGTCATTTAAAGATGGAGCTAAGGAATATGATCTGACCAAACCAAATGATCTAGTGCTTCTCAGAAAAGAAATAGAGGTAATACCTTGTTACATTTTACCAAATTTACTGCAAGTTAGTTTCTTATATAGAAGTGGGTTGGCCTCGTCGCAATTTGGTCCTGTCAGGGAGACTTAGTAGAACGCACCTAGTCCGATATCGTCTGCCATAGCAGTTTTCATGATTCTCAGCATGAGACAGTGTACTTGGTACATTCTCAAACATTTCCCTGGAATCATCAGTGAGTT